TATACACTTATACACTATGCACTATACACTTATACACTATGCACTATACACTACACTATGCACTATACACTTATACACTATGCACTATACACTTATACACTATGCACTTATACACTACACTATGCACTATACACTTATACACTATGCACTATACACTTATACACTATGCACTATACACTTATACACTATGCACTATACACTTATACACTATGCACCTATACACTTATACACTATGCACTATACACTTATACACTATGCACCTATACACTGTACACTATGCACACTATGTACATTATGCACTAATAGTGAATATTGCATCTACATTAGTGGAATAGTGCACGCGTGTGTGGTTTGGGACGCAGCCAGTGTTTCCTGTAGCCGTGTGCATCTGTATTGACCTGTTTCTCCTCTCTCCTGTCCTCCTGTCTCTGTGAACTGTGAATCTGCAGGCACGTTCAGAAACTCAAGTATGGACACCAGTGTTATCTCTGTGTGTTTCTGTCATGCTCTTCACCTTCACCTCCTGTTAGATTACATGTCATTTCACAGCAGGCATGAACATTTACCAGTGCTACACCACGTAACATGTCTGTTACTCAGAGTTTCTGTCTCGTTTCTAGTCTAAATATTTAAACCTTCTTAAATCGAGAAGCATTTTCTAGACAAGCCCAAAATATAGTCTTTTTTTTTCAGAAATATTGAAGTGTATAATCTAACAATGGGGGACGCAAAATAAAATAATCGAAAAGAAAAAATAGATTATTCCGCTTTAAAAATAGTCCGATTATTTTGCTTGTTTTAAGAAGAAACTCTGTATTTTGACTATTTCTGAAAACAAGACAATATTTTTGCTTGTCTAGAAAATGCATCTTGATTTAAAAACATTCAGATATTTGGACTAGAAACAAGACAGACGAGCATTTACACACACCAACTGGTGTTTCAGTCAGATATGCCAGTGTTTTAGGCATATTAGCATTAATAACAGACCAATTTGGGCAAGAAAATGCAATTAAAAAAATGTGGGAATTGAGAAAAATCATCTCAGTTCAATAATGTCTAGGTTTGGGATAACCTGATGGTGAGTAAATAGGACATTTGTTTTTGAATGAATTCTTCCTGTAAATGCAAACTAATTTAGGCGTTAATTGGGAAAGAGTCACGCTCATCTCGGAATTAAACTAATTTAAAGATGCAGTAACACTTTAGGTCACAATTCACTAACCATTAACCAACAGTACTGGCTTAATAAGTGGCTAATTAGCTGTTTATTGTGGCTAATTATATGTTTATCTTTTGGATGAGATGTTAAACCGAGGTCCTGACTCTCTGTGGTCGTTAGAAATCCCAGGATGTCCTTCGAAAAAGAGTAGGGGTTTAACCCCGGCATCCTGGCCAAATCTGCCCACTGGCCTCTGTCCATGATGGCCTCCTAACCCTCCCCTTCATCACTCTGTCTCCTCTCCACCAATCAGCTGCTGTGTAGTGTGCGGTCAGGTGGATGCTGCACACTGGTGGTGGATGAGGAGATTCCCCCCTATGTGAGGAGATTCCCCCTAACCCTAACACTACGGCCAGTGTAGTTGATCAGTTCCCCTATAGCGCATGTGTTTGGACTGTGAGGGAAACCGGAGCACCCGGAGGAAACCCACACCAACACGGGGAGAACATGCAAACATGTATAATGCCAACTGACCCAGCTGGGACTCGAACCAGTGACCTAACCAGTGCTAACCACTGAGCCACCGTGTCACCCAATGAACAACAATAATAGGCAGCCAGTGGTTAATATCCTGAATTATGACGTAAACTAAAGAGTTACCAAACATGCATTATTATATTTACACATTCATACATAAGCTCATTCAGCACCAGTGAACATTCCTAAAACCACAGCACATCTAACTGGATTATCGAAACATCCCAACACTGCAAAACATGCTCTCTCACGGGGAGTTTTAGTCTTGTTTCTAGTTCAAAACTCTAAAAACTCTTATATCTAGAAGCTTTTTCTAGACAAGCAGAAAATATTGTCTTGTTTTAAGAAATAATTAGTCAAAACTAAGTGAGTGTTTCCTTAAAACAAGCAAAATAAAAAAAATAAAAAAAAAGTCTTGCTTTTGATTTTGATATTAGATTATTTTGCTTTTTTAAGGAAAAACTAACTTAGTTTTGACTCAATATTTCTGAAAACAAGACAATATTCTTTGCTTGTCTAGATAATGCTTCTTTGTTTAATAATGTTGAAATATTTGGACAGAAAACAACACACAAACTCTAAATCAGAAATGCATTTTTAGCAGAACACACTTCCAAACTTGTAAAACATGTAATTGAGCCTTTCTGTCTGTGTCCTGCAGAGGGCACTCTGTCGCGCAGCCGGGAATCCTGTGGCCTGGAGGGAGTTCGGCTGAACGGAAACTACAACAACAGCTATTCGCTTCACGGAGGGAGCTCGGATCTCCTCGGGGGCGTTCCTGTAGGATCAGGGGGCGTGTCTGGAGAAGTAAGCCCCGCCCTTTTGACTCCAAGAGGGGCGGATACTTCCAGCGGATTACGGCGGAATCTTTCTGATGCAGCGGCGCTGGAGAAAATGATCATCTCTGAGCTGGTACAAAGCAACTTGCGTCCTTCAACCGATCGCTATGGAAACGGTACAAATTCAACAATGCATCGGCAAGATTACGCGACATCAACAAGTCATCGAGAGCCTCCGCAGAGGCCGCTGCCCCGCCCACCGCCGCCGCCTCCACAGGACGAGGAGGAGCTTTTATATAAAGCCTTAGAAAAGCCACGCCTTTCAGACAAACCACGTCTACCCGATAAACCCCGCCTTCCTGATAAGCCCCGCCTTTTGGAGCACGCCCAATCGGTGTTCTACCAGAGCGAAGAGGACTCGGAGAGCTTCTCGGCGGAGATTACAGACAATGTGGGCGGGGCTGGGCCTGACTCCGCCTCTTTGTACGCACGGGACCGCGATTCATCCTATCCCGACAGCAGTCCCGAAGCGCTGACGGTAGAGCCGCACCCCACCCTCCCGCCGGACGAGCTGTACTTCAGCGCAGGACGCCAAGCGCACATTTCGGCTTTCTACCAGCCTCCGCCCCGGCGGACCAATGAGGAGGCACGGCTGGGACTGCAGCCCTCGCAGGGGGACGGCGACGGACAGATGCAGCTGGTGACCAGTCTGTGACTAGGGCGATGGTGACCGGGACACCAAGATCTGGAGGAGGACCACCATGGTGGACAACGTCTGCATCAGCATCAAAACACCACGGCGGATATCTAGACAACTCTAGAGTGTCTGCTTACTGGACAAAATCTGAAGAAATTAATATAGTTCCTTCTGATTTTCTGGTTAGTGTTGAGTATTGAGTGAGATCCGTGCAGCAGGATGAAGCTCAGCATGATTAATTCTGCACACTGCAACAAAATGAACATCTCAGTTTAAGAGTTTGACTAGAAATATCTCAGAACTCTTAAATCAGGAAGCATTTTCTAGACTGGTTTGAAATTTGAGTCTAGTTTAACACTGGTTTAAGTCTTAATTCCAGTTGAAATGTCTAAAAAAAATTTATTTATTGAGGATATTATTGACTTGTTTAAGGTTTTCAGTCTTGATTCTGCTCTAAATATCTAAAAAATTTCTAATCTAAAAGTGTTTTCTAGACTCATTAAAAATGTTTAGTCTTTATCCCAGCCGAAATATCTAAGAATTCCTAAACCAAGAAGCATTTTCGAGACTGGTTTAAGATTTGAGTCTAGTTTAACACTGGTTTAAGTCTTGATTCTAGTCTAAATATCTAAGAAATCTTAAATCAGGAAGCATCTTATTGACTAGTTTAAGATTTTAGTCTTGATTCTGCTCTAAATATCTAAAAATTCTCTCATCTAAAAGCATTTTCTACACTAGTTTCTGAATTTTATTCATGATTTATAAAAAAATATCTCAGAATTCTGAAATCAAGAAACAATTTCTAGTCTAGTTTGACATTTGAGTCTAGTTTAAGACTAGTTTGTCTTGATTTTAGACTAAATATCAAAAAAATAATCCTAAATCAGGAAGCATCTTTTTGTCTAGTTTTGGATTTTCAGTCTTGAATCTGCTCTAAACATCTAAGAATTCTTAAATAAGGAAGCATTTTCTAGACTGGTTTATGATTTAAGTCTAGTTTAACACTGGTTTAAGTCTTGATTCTAGTCTAAAAATGCAACAAATCTAAAATCAGGAACCATCTTTTGACTAGTTTAATCTCGCTCCTAGTCGAAATATCTAAAACTTCTTAAATCAGCAAGTATTTTCTAGACTAGTTTAAGATGTTTAGTCTTGATTCTGCTCTAGATATCAAAAAATACTTGAATCTAGAAGCATTTTCTAGACTGGTTTAAGATTTGAGTCTAGTTTAACACTGGTTTAAGTCTTGATTTTAGCCTAAATTAAAAAAAATCTTAAATTAGGAAGGATTTTAGTGCCTAGTTTAAAATTTTCAGTTTTGATTCTGCTCTAAATATCTCAGAATTCTTAAATCAGGAAGCATTTTCAAGACTAGTTTATGATTTGAGTCTAGTTTAACACTGGTTTAAGTCTTAATTCTAGTCGAAATATCTAAACAATCTAAAATTAGGAAGGATTTTATTGACTAGTTTAAGATTTTCAGTCTTGATTCTGCTCTAAATATAAAAAAATTCAAAGCATTTTCTAGACTATTTTACGAATTTTATTCTTCATTCAAATCAAAATATCTAAAAATTCTTAAACGAAGAAGCATTTTCTAGACAAGTTTAAGATTTTTACTCTTAATTCTAGTCAAAATATCCTCAAATGCTTAAAGTTCTAAGCATTTTATAAGCTATTTTAAGCTTTGATTTTAGTTTAAGTCTTGATTCTAGTCGAAATATCTAAACAATCTAAAATGAAGTGATTTTTTAATTAAAATAAGCACAATAATCTGCCAATGGGGCCAGCAAATAATCTTATTAAAAAGCGAAAGCAAGATTATTCAGCTCACCTCATTGTCAGATTATTTCACTCGCTTAATCAATAAACTCTCTTTTTTTTGACTCTTTATTTCTGAAAACAACACAATATTTTCAGCTTGTCTAGAAAAAGCTTCTTGATTGAAGAGTTTTTAGATATGTTGACTCAACAGCAAGTCAAAGACTCTGAGTAAGAGGAGCATTTTTTGCAGTGTGGGATTAGAGAGAACGCTCTTCTTCACCTGCTGCTATTGAAGATGATGATGATGATGATGATGATGAAGGCGGTGTCGGCCTCCTCCTCCTCCACGTCTCTGTCTCCTGGTCACCCGAACACCACCCTGCTCATCTCACTGCCATTCAAGCACATCCATCCTTCTGTCCTTTCTGAGAAGAGTTCTTCTTATCGGGTAGTTTCTCCTCCATCCGCACATCCTCCATCTCGTCCCTGCTGAGAAGAAAAACAGACCGCTATGGGGGCAGTTCACTCAGAAATACACATTTAATCAAACTTTGATTGTCACAAACCTGCTTCTTGGTTTTTCTGTTGAGCACAAAGGAAGATGTTTTGAAGAATGTTGGATTCAGTGACTTTTATGTTATTAGTTTTTCCTACTATTTCAAACATTCTTCAAACTATCTTCATTTGTGTTCAACAGAAGAAGCTAAACAGCGATAAATGCTGCGTTTTTGTCTTGTTTCTAGTCCAGATGTCAAAGAATTTTTAAATTAAGAAGCTTTTTTTAGGCAAGCTAAAATATTGTTAAAATGAAGCCAGTTTGACTTTAAAACAAGCTAAATAATCTGCCGGTGGGTAAGAAAAATATTGTATTTCAAAGTGAAAACTAGACTGTTTTTCTTACCTCATTATCAGATTATTTTGCTTGTTTTAATGAAAAACTCACTTCATTTTGACTCATTATTTCTGAAAGCATCACAATCTTTTTAGCTTGTCTAAAAAAAGTTTATTGATTTAAGAGTTTTTAGATATTTGCACTAAAAACAAGACTAAAATTCCCAGTATGCAAGCAGTTTTTGGCAGTGCTCAAACCTGTTTGAGTTTCTTTCTACTGATGAACACAAAAGAAGATAGTTTGAAGAATGTTAGAAACTGGTAACCATTGACTTCCATAGTAGGATAAAGAAATATTATGGAAGTCAGTGGTCTTACTTCTTTATCAATATCTTCTTACTTCTTCTATCAGCAGAAGTAACAAACTTTTGAAGCCACTGGATGGAGAGTAAACTGTGAGTAAACGTGTTTTGGGTGAACTATCCCTTTAAATCAGACTCTGTCTGGTCTGTGTTTTATTCCCCGGCAGGATCTCTTCATTCAGGGTGGTGTTGTGCATGAGTGTCAGACGTTTATCAGAATGTGACAACACTTTCGCCAGAGACCGCAGCTCTTTTACATGCCAAAAAAAACAACAATCGCTCACACTCTGGGAGCAGCTGCTGTCGGGGTCACGCTCCCACCATCACAGAGGTCAAAGGTTACCAGTCAAACACTGCAGAAGCACGCTTACTGTCTTGTTTCTAATACAAATATCTAAACAGTCTTAAATCATGAGGCATTTTCAAGACGAGCAGAAAATATTGTGTTGTTTTCAGAAATAGTGAAGTGAGACGAGCAGAATAATCAGCTGAGCAGGTCAACAGTCTTGTTTTTGCCATTCCACTCAGCCTATTGGCTGATTATTTTGCTTGTTTTAAAGTCCACATGAGTTCAAAATTAAGCATATTGATTTTGTCAGCTCACATTGCTGGTTCTGTGCTGAATAATTCATCTGTGCAGGTCATTGAGAACAAAAAAACGGTTTTCCCTTAATGTCGAAAGCTGAAGATGCACTTCCTGTTTGTGTTCAGTTAAATCCTGATTAGATGGTCAGACATCCCAAATTGGGAAAAGTAGTTTCCGGGAGAGACAGAGATGATTTGCGGGAAGGTCACGAGAGAGTGGGTGACTGGAAACCAGGGGGGGTGGGATAGGGGGTACGGTGTTGACGTATCGAAAGAGCGGAGGGGGCGTGTGCGCACAACGTATCTGAAGAGCGGGGGGGAGGGGGTGTTGACGTATCTAAGGAGCGGTGGGGGCATGTGCGCGCGGCGTATCTGAAGATCGGTGGGGGGGGGCTGTTGATGTATCTGAAGAGCAGTGAGGAGGGGGGATGTTGATGTATCTGAAGAGGGGTGGGGGTGTTGATGTATCCGAAGAGCGGAAGGGGGGGTGTTAATGTATCTGAAGAGTGGTGGGTAGGAGAGGTATTGACGTATTTAAAGAGCGGTGGGGGGGTGTGCGCGACGTATCTGAAGAGCAGTGGGGGTGTGTGTGCGCGATGTATCTGAAGAGCAGTGGGGACGTGTGCGCGCGACATATCTGAAGAGCGGTGGGGGCGTGTGCACGTGATGTATCTGAAAAGCGGTGGGGGCGTGTGTGCGCGACGTATCTGAAGAGCGGTGGGGGCGTGTGCGTGTGACGTATCTGAAGAACGGTGTGGGCGTGTGCGTGTGACGTATCTGAAGAGCGGTGGGGGCGTGTGTGCGCGATGAATCTGAAGAGCGGTGGGGGCGTGTGTGCGCAACGTATCTGAAGAACGGTGTGGGCATGTGTGCGCGACGTATCTGAAGAACAGTGGGGGCGTGTGCGTGTGACGTATCTGAAGAACGGTGTGGGTGTGTGCGCGTGACGTATCTGAAGAACAGTGGGGGCGTGTGCGTGTGACGTATCTGAAGAACGGTGTGGGCATGTGTGCGCAACGTATCTGAAGAACAGTGGGGGCGTGTGCGTGTGACGTATCTGAAGAACGGTGTGGGTGTGTGTGCGCAACGTATCTGAAGAACGGTGTGGGCGTGTGTGCGCGACGTATCTGAAGAGTGGTGGAAGCGTGTGTGCGCGACGTATCTGAAGAACAGTGGGGGCGTGTGTGCGCGACGTATCTGAAGAACGGTGTGGGCGTGTGTGCGCGACATATCTGAAGAACGGTGTGGGCATGTGTGCTTAACGTATCTGAAGAACAGTGGGGGCGTGTGCGTGTGACGTATCTGAAGAACGGTGTGGGTGTGTGTGACATATCTTAAGAACGGTGTGGGCGTGTGTGCGCGACGTATCTGAAGAACGGTGTGGGCGTGTGCGTGTGACGTATCTGAAGAGCGGTGGGGGCGTGTGTGCGCGATGAATCTGAAGAACAGTGGGGGCGTGTGCGTGTGACGTATCTGAAGAACGGTGTGGGTGTGTGTGACATATCTGAAGAACGGTGTGGGTGTGTGTGCGCAACGTATCTGAAGAACGGTGTGGGCATGTGTGCGTGACGTATCTGAAGAACAGTGGGGGCGTGTGCGTGTGATGTATCTGAAGAACGGTGTGTGCGTGTGACGTATCTGAAGAACGGTGTGGGCATGTGTGCGCAACGTATCTGAAGAACAGTGGGGGCGTGTGCGTGTGACGTATCTGAAGAACGGTGTGTGCGTGTGACGTATCTGAAGAACGGTGTGTGCGTGTGACGTATCTGAAGAACGGTGTGGGTGTGTGTGCGCAACGTATCTGAAGAACGGTGTGGGCGTGTGTGCGCGACGTATCTGAAGAACGGTGTGGGCGTGTGCGTGTGACGTATCTGAAAAGCGGTGGGGGCGTGTGTGCGCGATGAATCTGAAGAGCGGTGGGGGCGTGTGTGCGCAACGTATCTGAAGAACGGTGTGGGCATGTGTGCGTGACGTATCTGAAGAACAGTGGGGGCGTGTGCGTGTGACGTATCTGAAGAACGGTGTGTGCGTGTGACGTATCTGAATAACGGTGTGGGCGTGTGTGCGCGACGTATCTGAATAACAGTGGGGGCGTGTGCGTGTGACGTATCTGAAGAACGGTGTGTGCGTGTGACGTATCTGAAGAACGGTGTGGGCATGTGTGCGCAACGGATCTGAAGAACAGTGGGGGCGTGTGCGTGTGACGTATCTGAAGAACGATGTGGGTGTGTGTGCGCAACGTATCTGAAGAACGGTGTGGGCGTGTGTGCGCGACGTATCTGAAGAGTGGTGGAAGCGTGTGTGCGCGACGTATCTGAAGAACAGTGGGGGCGTGTGTGCGCGACGTATCTGAAGAACGGTGTGGGCGTGTGTGCGCGACGTATCTGAAGAACGGTGTGGGCGTGTGCGTGTGACGTATCTGAAGAACGGTGTGGGTGTGTGTGCGCAACGTATCTGAAGAACGGTGTGGGCGTGTGTGCGCGACGTATCTGAAGAACGGTGTGGGCGTGTGCGTGTGACGTATCTGAAAAGCGGTGGGGGCGTGTGTGCGCGATGAATCTGAAGAGCGGTGGGGGCGTGTGTGCGCAACGTATCTGAAGAACGGTGTGGGCATGTGTGCGTGACGTATCTGAAGAACAGTGGGGGCGTGTGCGTGTGACGTATCTGAAGAACGGTGTGTGCGTGTGACGTATCTGAAGAACGGTGTGGGCATGTGTGCGCAACGTATCTGAAGAACAGTGGGGGCGTGTGCGTGTGACGTATCTGAAGAACGGTGTGTGCGTGTGACGTATCTGAAGAACGGTGTGGGCATGTGTGCGCAACGTATCTGAAGAACAGTGGGGGCGTGTGCGTGTGACGTATCTGAAGAACGATGTGGGTGTGTGTGCGCAACGTATCTGAAGAACGGTGTGGGCGTGTGTGCGCGACGTATCTGAAGAGTGGTGGAAGCGTGTGTGCGCGACGTATCTGAAGAACAGTGGGGGCGTGTGTGCGCGACGTATCTGAAGAACGGTGTGGGCGTGTGTGCGCGACGTATCTGAAGAACGGTGTGGGCGTGTGTGCGTGACATATCTGAAGAACAGTGGGGGCGTGTGCGTGTGACGTATCTGAAGAACGGTGTGGGCGTGTGTGCGCAACATATCTGATGAACGGTGTGGGCGTGTGTGCGTGACAAATCTGAAGAGCGGTGGAAGCGTGTGTGCGCGACGTATCTGAAGAGCGGTGAGCGTGTGCGCGCGATGTATCTGAAGAACAATGGGGGCGTGTGTGCGCAACGTATCTAAAGAACAGTGCGGGCGTATGTGCGCGCAGTATATCTAAAGAGCGGTGGAAGCGTGTGTGCGTGACGTATCTGAAGAACAGTGGGGGCGTGTGTGCGCGACCTATCTGAAGAGCGGTGGAAGCGTGTGTGCGCGATGTATCTAAAGAATGGTGTGGGTGTGGGACATATATAAAGAGCTGGGCAGGATGCGGGGGACACTATTTAAGGACCGGGCGGGAGACGCGCGATTTCCAGGAGATTATCATTCGTTTGCGGGCATCTGGGAGTCTCCCGCAAATACATAGACTTTCGGGAGACTTGGGATGTCTGGATGGTAAAGTCTAGATGGGATACGCAGCCGGCTGGAAGTATCAGTATAGCAGCATTTATTATGACACTGTATAACAATAATTAATATTTCATATTTGCTGTGATGGTTGGGTTTAGGTGTTGGGGGTAGACGTTAGTAAAATTCAATAAATAATAAAAATAATTCTTGTTAACTTCCGTCACAATACAGGAAAAAACGTACGGTTCATGCCTTTGAAGTCAAACGGTAATGTTTTTCCAGGAGGTCAAGGTTCAGCTGGTGAACAGGTATCTTTCTTTGACACACAGATGAACTGTTCACCACAAAACTAGCAACGTGAGCTAACAAAATCAATAAGTTAGATTTGATTTCTTCATGTGGACTTTAAAACAAGCAAAATAATCAGCCAATCAGGTGAGTGAATTAGCGAAAACAAGATTGCTGACCTCATTAGCAGATTAATTTGCATATCTCACTTAATTCATTATTTCTGTAAACAAAACAGTATGTTCTTATTGTCTAGAAGTTGCTGATTGGTTAAATAATTGTTTGATATTCTGATTGGAAACGTGGTCAGACAGTGTGTTTGTTTGCAGTGAGGGTAAAGTCAGCATGTTGTGTGTTTTTCAGCAGCGTTGGAGAACGGATCTTCAGCGCATCTGCTGTTTTCCAGACACTGATCGATCTTATATTTGAGGACGTTTTACACAACGCTCGAACCCTTCCGCTGTTTTACGTAGATTGATCAAGGACACGACGATAAAGCAGAAAAACTTCCTGTAAATACGAACTGAGAGATGTGACGTCTCGGGACATGCTTCTCTTTCACTTACGAGTTTATGGTTGAAAAAAGTCTTAAAGATTATGTAGATGAACTGATGACACTGTCTTCTCTTTTCGCTCTTTTCTCACTCTGTCTCTTTCGGTCTTTCTCGCTCTCCGAGAGTGTTTCATGTAAAAAGATAAGACATGTTTTTTAATCAAAATAAAATGGACAAAAGTGAAGGTTCGCCGTGTTCTTCTTCAATCTCGCCTGCATTAATGATGTTAAACATGCACCAGGAGGTCAAGGTTCAGTTGGTGAACGGGTGTTTTTCTAGCAGTTGTGGACTG